AGGGACGTACCAAATCCACGCCCTGGGTTAGCCTCTCATTCCCACCCCACGCTTTGCTCCTGAAAGAGCCCAGGAATCCCGACCTGCAGTGTCCTGTCGGACACGGGAAGAGCCTCTGCCGCAGCCTAACAAGAGTAACGGAACCACCTGGCAACGTGTTGTCCCCCCGCTTCGGAGCCAGCTCCCACTAACCTCACAGCTCTTCCAGCGCTCTGGGCTGCCGCTCGGAAGGTCTGTAGCTCAGCCCCAGAGGAGGACGCGTGTGGGGAAGCCCAACGCCCGCAAGAGAGACAATGTGTTTTTCCAGTTTTCTATTTACCCAATTGCGCTATTTAATTCACGCAATGAATGGAAAACAGTAGGTTTTTCCAAATATCCTGGGTCAATTACTGGTGTAGCATGTTCAAGGGAACGCCGAGGTCCCTAATTTCAGTTTTGTCTGCAACACACTGCCAGGTGCGATGGTGCAGCAGTCTGTTTGAACCGCCACCAGTCACAAGAAGCAGAGTTTTGCTAGGATCTTCTCCCCGGCTTTGCCCACCAGCAATCTAGCAGGACTGGGGTGAGCTGCTGTCCAGTTACCAAAACATCAAATCTCCTCTAGATAAGAAATGAAAACTTGGCGTTTTCTCCTCTTTCCTCCTCCTTCCCCACCCCTCCACTTTCCTATCCCACGCCTCTCCCCTCTCGCTGTTGATTAGTTGTGTTGCAACAGTCACAAGTTGTAACAGGCTGTTTGGCCTTGAAAATAAGACCTACAAAGTACAAGCAGTCAGACTGGGGCCCTGTCAGGTGATTTTTTCTTTTTTTAAAATGTTGCACTGAAAAGATCCCTTCCCCTCCACCACAAAAATAGCTTTCCAAATCAGAGACGACCGTTTTAGCACTCTAGATGCAGGTCTTGCCTGCCACAGAAGAGGAAGTTGGAGAATTAGGGTACCACTTGTAGAGAAGAGCAACTTGATTAACAGAAGGGAAGACGTTTTTATTCAGACTATTTACATTTTTTTTTTTTTTTTTACACTCATTCCGGGAAGAAAGCTTTCAGACTCAGTACTACTTCCCCTGTGTCTAAGGGCAGGGCGAGCGCCCAATGCTTGTTTGTGATACTCACTAAATCCTCCAGTAAAACTAGGGAAGTACAAAAACAGACTAGAGTTTAAGGTATATTTTGAAGAGTTCTCCTGATGACTTTAGAAAGTCCCTCTTTTGCTGCTCTTGGCATATTCTTTTGCAGGTCACCTGCAAGGAATGTTGTCCGAGGCCAGACCTTTGACAGCCGAGGAACATCAGCCTGGGTCCGCCCGAGAGAATGGGGCAGCGTCTGGACTTTGGAAAGTGTGTTTCCCTTTTAGCCAGTGCAAGCTGAAAGAGGCTTCTGGGTCCGTCCGTCGGCTGTCAGCTGCCTTCGACCTTCCCGGGAGCAGCCCCTCCACACCCCCACAGCACACAGGTCCGCAGTTACAAGCACAGGGAGCAGAACAGCCCTGGGCTTGCAAACAACTGCGCTGCCTCCTCAGAGAAAGCTACCAGCACAGGTACCCAGCAGCCTTCTTTGCTTGCTTCCTCTCTCGCGTCCCCTCCAGCAGGCCGAGCGTTCCCTGGCTCCCTGCAGGATGCACCAATGAGACGTTGCACACCGGGGACCAGAGATCAGCTATGTTAGAAGGGATAGCGTAGGCGGGGAGACACTGCTGTATTTTTACACTTGCAACCCTGAGCTGCGCCTCGCTTCCAGCTCTCACGTGCTCTGAAATCCTCACAGACTGGGAGCTATTTCGGGTCCTGCGTCAGACGGCCGTGGGGATTTTTAATCAAGTACATAAAAAAAAACCCCGCGCCACATCCCACCTCTCTCCAACCGACTCTCGGCTTACAGAGCAAGCGGCCGGCCTGCCCCTCGTGCCTTCTATTAAGGTTTTCATCCCGACAAGCTAGTGAGTCGGTGATTCCCACTGGGCGCGCTACACTCCTCCGTAGAGACTGGCTCCTAGAATCACTGGTGCATCGTCACACTAGGACGTGCACTTGCTGGCGCCTCCCCTCCCTTTAGAGACAGACACCCCCACAATGGCGAGGTCACAAACAGTACGCGAGCAGCCAAGCCAACCGCTGGACCCAGGGAGGGACCGTTTTAAGTATCAAGCTGGCTGTTGGCGGCGGCTGCAGCTACCACCTATCTTAGGCCCGTCAGCAGAGGAAAGAAGCACGTGCGATGCTGAACAACGTGGAAGAGGAACCTGAGAACTTGCATTTCCTCCCTGATCCCTCCAATTCTAAATGTGGTTTCTAAGTCAGATGGTTGCAGCCACCCTGCTAAGACCAGCCATGGTATTTGAGAGACGTATTTGAGAGACCCACGAGAGCAAGCAAAATGGTGACAGGCATACAGGGTCAAACTGCTCTGGCCCGGCACCCTCGGTGCCAAACCCGAGAATTGGCTGAACTACAGGAGGTCAATATTGTCGAGCAGCACTATCAGCATGCCCACTGCTTGCTGGGCTACTCAGAGCCATTTAGGGGTAAGTTAGAGCTAAACAACAGCACAGAACACTGAGAGCCAGGACTGGAGGCTGTAAAACTTTATGGGACCGCAGGAGACTTGGCCACACCCATGATAAGCAGGCATCAGGCTAACTAATGAGCAGTCCTGTGGCACTTTATAGATTAACACTTATTGGAGCATAAGCTTTCGTGGGCAAAGACCCACTTCATCAGATCGGGGCGGCCCATGAGCCCAGGCGAGCTAGGCAGCTGCCCAGGGCGCCCCGTGATGACGTCATGGCTACTGACGGCCATTCAGGCAGGGGCACCGTGCCCCGCCTAGGACGCCAGCTGCTGCAGCCGGCCTCGGGCTGCTCCTGCATCAGATGCGCAAAGTGGGTCTTTGCCCACGAAAGCTTATGCTCCAATAAGTGTTAGCCTATAAGGTGCCACAGGACTCCTCGTTGTTTATGCAGATTCAGACTAACACGGCTCCCCCTAGGATACAGGCTAACTAACATCATGCTGGACCACAAAGTGCCGTATTCCCTTTTTACCGACAGGGAAACAGAAGCGATCACTCCAAGGCTGGAGAGCAGCTGCCACGGTTTTGGTTAAACACGGGAGCCAGCCCATGAGCAGTTTCAATAAATGCCTCAGAAGTGCGAGAAACAGAGTTAAACGCAGGAAGAGTTTATTCTGATTTTACTTTATACCAACCAGGCTCTTCACCATGACAAGAGCCATACAAAACAGCCTGTCTTGAACGCACAGGGCAGCCAGGGGGTGCTTTTCATTCCAAAGGGCAGATCAGTGTCGGGCACGTTACCAGAGAACGCTAGCGAGTCGCACTTAGCCCTCGAAGAAGATACAAGAGCAAGAGCATGCAAGAGTTTATTCTGATTTTACTTTATACCAACCAGGCTCTTCACCATGACAAGAGCCATACAAAACAGCCTGTCTTGAACGCACAGGGCAGCCAGGGGGTGCTTTTCATTCCAAAGGGCAGATCAGTGTCGGGCACGTTACCAGAGAACGCTAGCGAGTCGCACTTAGCCCTCGAAGAAGATACAAGAGCAAGAGCATGCA